AATCCGCAGCTCTGGTGGAAGCAATCAGTGAACGGTGGGGGACCAGGCTGGTTAGACTCACAGGTGGGTGGAGTGCAGTGGCAGGCAATATTGTCAGAGTGGCACTTGGAATTCTGGTCAGGCAGGTTATCTACAGCCAGGAATCTGCAGCTTTGCTCCAGGATTTGGAATAGTTCTCCAGTCTGTGGCTGGGGAACTGGTAGATGCAGGCAGTGAGGTGGCGGGTATTGGGAGGTTACCAGGAAAGGAACCCAGGAGAGAGGCCAAAGGGACAGCAAATGGGGTTCAGGCCTTGGATCTTGGGAGTTGGCCCTGGGCCACCTTGTCGTGGATCAGAGGAGGTTGTAATGGGGGAAAATGAATGACACAAAATCATGACAGAATATGGACTGGATAGAACCGTGAGCCTGCAGAGCAAGAGAGCATGGGCCTCGATGAGGAATCAGGAGCTGGGTGTAAGGGTGGGTTCCTGAACAGCAAGAAGTCTATTGTCTGCCTCTTTTTTCCCCCTTGTGAGACAGAGTCTTACTCCGTCACCCTGGCTGGAGTGCAATGGTGCGATCTCAGCTCACTGCAACCTCCGCCTCCCAGGTTCAAGCAATTCTCTTGCCTCAGCATCCCAAGTAGCTGGGATTACAGGTGTGTGCCACCACGCCTGGCTATGTTGTCTGCTTCTTTCAGGTGCACAACTGTGGCCTCCACTAGCCTAGGTAAAGCCTTTGCGTGAACTAAAAATGGTGTGCCTCTTTTGGGCAGACCAGTTGAGTACACACACCAGAGGCATACAGACACACCTTTGTTCAAAGAGAAAGGCTCTACTTCCTCTGGCAGGTGTAGCCCTGAAAATAGAGCCTGCACTAGATTCCAGCACCCACTTGCTCACTTGGTCAGCATCTGTGCCGCCAATAAAATGCACATCTATCCATGGATGCCCTGGGAATGGCTCAGGGAGAGGGCGTGTGAACCCACCCGTTCTCCCCGGTAGTGGGCAAGCCTAGACCTCCCAGCATGGAGCAGGGACCGTGGGTGGGCTTAACTCTGTGATGGAGGAAGTGATATTGAAATCAACTTGTCTTTGTGCTCTTGAAAAACACCTCAGCGGTCACCCTGCAGTGTAGTCTGTAATTAATTCCTTGTTCATTCCACGTTGGAATTTCAAGAATCAGTGCTAATAACACCCTTTCCTATTCTTGCAGCCGCAGAGTCATAGCTGGAGAGAGAATGATAAGCTGGGTAGCCTCAGCCACAGGCCCCCAGCTACAATCCTGACCTGCAGGTTATAATAATTACCAGTAACAACTAACATTTATGGTGCACGTTGCAATTTAAGTGCCTTCACGTACATTCTCTCACTTGCTCCCTATGAGGCAGGGATTCTTGGCAGTCCTTTCACAAATGAGAACACAGACAAGATCTTATGGGGCCAGATGGTTGGTATTTGCATGGGAGTTCCCTGGAGCCTGACTGCCTGGGTTCCACTCCCAGTCTGACCATTTCCTGGCTCTGTGACATAGAGCAAGTTGCTTTTCCTTTCTGTGTCTTAGTTTCTCTATGCATGAAATGGAGCTATTTCATGCATGAGGTGACTATAGCAGTTAAAATACTTAGAACAGTCAGTGCCTAGCATGAAACATATGAGCCCAGCATAGAATCTCTGCTTTCATAGCCTCATCTGAAAACAAGGTCCACCAAAGTGTGCAAAAATCTCACATCTTTTGGTAGTCCATTTGTGGTGCAAATAAAATTGGATCAGATTGCAGCATCACATTGGGAAATTAAATTCCTGGTAAGTTTCTTGAGCAGAACTTAGCCCCCACGAGGCTGGGTACTCAGAGAAGGTGCCACAGATGCCGTTGACTAGGTTGAGGAGAGCAGGTGGAATGGGCTCTGGCTGCACTGGGCAGTATGTACCCTCTGCACAGAGGCAACTGGCCAAAAGTGGCCAAAAGGAGATACTGACCCAAAGCACCCCATGTTCCCATTTTTCAGCAGAAGCCCAAAACCCTGACTTTTAATGTGAAGTATCCTGATTTCCAACTTCAGCAACTCTTTCAAATTTCTTCTACTGTGTGGGCCAGACCGGACCCAGCTGCAAGCAGCCAGCTTGTGCTGCCTCTCCCAGTTGCCTGCTCTGATTGCCACCCCTGGGAGCCTTTAGTGCCTGCAACCTCACACACTTCTCTCCAGGTTTGTTCTTGTCTGTCCCCATGGTGGACACCAGCCTACTTGGTCCTCTCCCTGAGGTCCATAGGTGGTAAAATGTCAGCCATGAAAGTCATGGGTGTTCTACCTGGAGTACTTCTGAGGGAAGATGCCACAGACAATCAATTACTCAATTACCATGGAGGATGAAAAAGAACGTGCTACATTAAATAAGATAGAATGAAACATTCTCTGGCATGTGAACATCCAGTGGGAAGTGTTACATCAGCTTCACACACAGGTGAGATGCCATGTGCTCACTCTAATGTTTTTAACACTTATCTCAGGGGAACGACTTGACACCACATGAAAACCTCTTATTAAGGGGAAGAACTTCAACGTCATCTCTGCCAACCTCTTGTGTTACAGATGGAGATGCTGAGAGAGTCCTGCATGAGATCCCAGAGCTAGAACACAACACAGGGCCGCCATGTGCTCGCTCAGCCCACTCTTCATTTTCATGTGCAATGCCTCCTTTCCAGGGCCTGGGATTTCCCTCCTTAAGGCAGATCCACATATCTGTCATCCCAAGCATGTTCTTAGGAGGCACTTCCTGAAAGTGCTAGGTAATAACACAGCAGTTTACATTTGTAGGGTGCCATGCATGATCATCCAAGGGCCTTCGTTTGTTTCTCTTTCCTGACAGAGGCATGAGACGTGGAAACAAGAACCCATGCCCAGGGTCCGGAGAGCTGGGCTGTCGTCTGCACCACTGACAAGCTGTGTAACTTCATGGGAGCTATTTGGCTTCTTCAGCCTTCTCTCTTCTTTTCTTGCTTTGGCTGATATCAGCCATACCTTAGTATTGGCATAATTATTATAAGTTTTCCCCAGCCACTGGTTGAAGACATGTTGCTGAGTAACTGTGATGTGAGGCCCTGACTCCAGTCCAAGGATGCTTCTTGACTGACACCTTGAAAAATGACACAAGGACCCTGAATCCACCAAGAGGAGAACTGCACACACAGAGACACACACAGGCCTGCAGGTACATCCATGCCCTGCAGGGTGGGGCAGACAGAAGGCTGCTGAGAAGGTGGCCCTCAGGAACCCACCCCTGGCAACTACCACCGTTCATTGCCCCTGCAAGCCAGACTTAAGGTCACCCAGGCCTTCCTGGCACTAAGGGCCAGCAGACACCTTGGCTGGGCTGGCAGCCCCTCTACCCAGCTGGCTACTGGCATGGGACGCCTTCTCCTTGACTTTTGAACCTATTTTGCAATCCTGGTTCAGGCTGAGACCAGACTTTTAGTAGTGAGTTACAGAGACAATGATCTCAGCAAGACTGAGGCAACAGGATTAGGGCTGAAGTCAGTCAAGAACCGTACCTGTCAAACAAGAAAAAATAAATAAAGATTGAAAAAAAAGGACCGTACCTGTGCTCACATGTGTGCCAATAAAGTTACATAAGCGAGTAGTGTCTAAACTTGAGGGGATCAACGTTGGAGTTAGAAAGGATTTTCCTGAAGGGGACAGCCAGGGACTGAGGAAGAAGAACTTGTGAGAGAATATATGGCAGGGACAGAATAGCCTGCGGCCTAGGCTAGCTGTGTCATTGGATCCTAATTAACTTGGGAACATATCTTCATCTTACGGACTAAAAATGGACTTCCCTCCATTTATAAGGAGGTAAAATAGTAGTTGATATCTAGTAAATGCTTGCAGTATTCCAGGTGCTATGTTAAGCACTTTGCATGTGTGTCTAATTTAATTCTCACAATGAATTAGGGTTCTACTGTTATTCCTGTTGCCCAGATGCAGAAACTGAGGTTTACAGAAGTTTAGTTATTTGCTACCATAAAGGAGTGATACATTTTGCAGGGGAAGTCTTCACAGAAGTGGTGATGTTGAAGTCATCTTAAAAACCAAGTAGCTATTTGTCAAGTAGGCAGCACCAGGAAGAGGAAAATGGACAGGGGGTTACTTTAAGAAGAGGGATCAGCTTGCAGTGAGGCTCAAAAACAAGAAATGACCTGGAAAAGCCCACTGGGATTAGACAGTGAAAGGCTAAATAGGGAGTTGGACAATCATGCATTATTGGGGTTTTTTTGGTAGGAGAGTCACATGATCAGATTTATTGGGTGGAATAATGATTTTAGAGTGCCTTTTGGAATAATGTTTTGTCTTCTTCATTTATTATGGCTACAATTTACTCATTTTGTTTGTTTGTTTGAGACGGAGTCTCACTGTGTCACCCAGGCTGGAGTACAGTAGCACAATCTCGGCTCACTGCAACCTCCGCCTCCCGGGTTCAAGCAATTCTCCTGCCTCAGCCTCCTGAGTAGCTAGGACTACAGGCATGCACCACCACAACTGGCTATTTTTTGTATGTTTAGTAGAGACAGGGTTTTGCCATGTCATCCAGGCTGGTCTCAAACTCCGGATCTCAACTGATCTTCCCGCCTCAGCCTCCCAAAGTGCTAGGATTAAGGTGTGAGCCACTGCACCCAGCCAATTTACTCTTAATTCTCCATCACTTGCATCTTATTCCCTATTTTATTATCCTAGTGTAGTGTGTATTTGTGCCACCTATTTAAATCCTCTTGGGAAGGAGACAGGAAATAAATACCTGCTTACTTACAAATACATGAGGATATACACCATATAGGTAGCATGCGGGCCAGGGAAGAGAAGCTGTCAAAAGAGACCAAGAAGAGGGCATTGGAGAAACAGACAGTGTGGTAAAGAGATAGGTCACAGAAGCCAAGAGGAGACAGCATTAGAAAGAGGGAGCAGCTGGCTGGCAGCATGTCACATGTTGCCAAGAGGTTAAATTGGATGAAGACTAAAAAAAGGCCTTGGGATTGAGAGATGAGAAGGTCGCCAGGACCACAAGGACACTTCATTGCCCTCTTGAATCAGACACAAATGGGAGATGAAGAAGTGGAGGCAACAGGACAGAAACACAAGTTCAAGAAATTTGTAAGCAGGAAGAAAAAAGAACCGTGGATTAAATGAGGTGAGGAAGCATTTATTTTCTTGTTTTCTCTTATAGTTTTTAGCGAGTGGATGCAAACGCAGATGGGAAGGTAAGCTTCAACAGGACGCCACCACCGCCAGGAGGAAGCAGGAAGGAAACGGTAAACTCAGAGGTGGAACAAACCCTTTGGCAGTGGAGATAACCGCCATGGAGATGGTGAGAAAGCTCAAATCTAAGTTCTGGGTTTCCCTTGGAATGACAGCTGAGGGATTGACCTGTGCATGGTGATTGGAGGAATCTGAGAAGCAGATTTCTATGCTTTCACTTACAGAAATACTGTGGGAGGCATTGCTCCAGAGGCAGACTCCTGGCACTCCTATTCCTGCCCCCAACCCTCACACACACTCAGTGAACGTCTGCAGGGACAGTCCCTTCTCTGGGCCTTTTTTTCCTGCCTGAGGCTCCTGGTGGGAGTGATGTACCTTGGGGAAGTCTCAGCAGAAGAAGTGGAGCACACAGGCAGGAGGGAAGGAGGGTGGCAGGGAGAGCATAAACGGGGGCTTGCCCAGGCCGGCTCAAGGCTCAGGGATTCCACATTCTAATTCCAGCTTCTCTTAAAGGGCTGGGTTCTCTCTGATTGATGGATAATTCCTGTTCTGCCTACTGTACAATCGTGCTTCCATTTCCATTCCAAAGAGGAACTCAAAGAAACTTATATCCAAAAAAAAGGATTAAAAAGTAGTGGTGACTCGGAAGGGCGAGGCCTGTGGCTGCTGTCATGCAGCCTATTCCTGCGTGCTTATATAATCACAGTGCAACCATGAGTCACAGCCTGACAGCCAGACTGAAACGTGATTAAGTCCTACAACCCTCCTGCCTGGAGCAGGGCAAGGCTTGCTGTTTAACCCTCTGCTGCTAGAGCCTAGGGCAGAAGGTGCTGTCCTTGGGTAGAGAGCTCCTCCAGATGGATGAGTCCAATGAATTAGGAAAGAATCCCTACCTGCATAAATACTTCTCTGAGACATCAGCCAAAGGTCTTTCATTCCACAGATGCAGATACTCCTGGGAGAGGTGACACATGGAATCCCTGAATTTTAAGGCCGAGAAAACTTTGGACTTACCCAAGGTGAGTTATCCTCTTTAACAGATGAGGCTACCAGGGCCCAGTATCCAGTGAGAGACTAGCAACCACTCCAGGTCACACTGTGAGGTAGCAGCAGAGTGGGGACTTGAACCCAAGTCTCCTGGCAGCAAGTCCAAAATGTGGCAGCCATGATGATTTATTAAGAATATTGTCCCTCTATATTCCAGGCTGGAAGCCAAGTGGTTCCACTCTTCACCATAGCCTGTGTGCACCTGTGTCTTCACACAGTCCTAGCAAGAATGACCTTAAAAGACCTGTTCCTTAATCTCCAAGCTCTACTTAAAAGTCTCTCAGCTGGAATTCTGGAGAAAACAATATTTGGATTCAGGTCAAATGTCCAGCTTTGGAATCTGTCCACATGGATGTGGTCGTGTCTGACACTTCCTAGCTCAGTGACTTTGGGCATCTATTAGAGTTTCAGTCACCTCATCTGTAAAATGGGGATAAAAACAGTAGTGTTGTTGTGAAATAATATGTGAGAAGTGCCTGTTGCAGTGCCTGGGATGCGACAAGTGGTAGTTGCCACCATTTCCATTCCAAAGATGAACTCAAAGAAACTTGTATCCAAAAAAATGGATTAAAAAGTAGTGGTGACTCAGAAGGGCGAGGCCTGTGGCTACTGTCATGCCGCCTATACCTGCATGCTTACACAATTGCAAAGCAACCGTGTTAGAAGCACAGCTGCCTTCATGAAGGACAGGGGATTCTTGCCAGAAGCACCCAGAGAATGCTGCCTTCAGGCTGACCCCAGACACTGACAGGCCTCATGATAATCTCAGTGCAGAGCTCTTCTATAAAGACCTTAAAGCTCCACGAATAAGCTAGACACTATGTGACCTGAATCTCATCCAGGCCCCTGCCCTATGGTTCCTGACACTCTGGTATGAAAAGATCTAGATTGCCACATCCTACCTGGTGTTATCTCTGGCAGTGGCAGCAGAGGATTGTCTGATGGGGAAATGGCTCCACAAAAGGTTAAAACACCATCCCCTTCCCCAGACGTCTGTCCTGGTTTCACTTAATAACCAAATGATTCTGTCATCCAAGAGATCATCTAGATCGCAAACACATCTTTTGTTTTTATAATTGAGTCCTATTCAAACATGTTTAAAGCCTGTATTCTAGGGGAAGGGGATCTGTAAATATTAACAGTAATGAGAGAAGCACTGGATTGGGGACAGCAGGAAGAGGGGAAGGGAAGGTGAGGAGATGGCTTGAAATAGAGAAGAAAGTAAAAGTCTGCACACTGAATGGTGAGACCCCCTCACCCTTCCCCTGCTTATTTCCAAAAATGCTTGCAATCAGGTTCATATCCTGCAGTAAAGAGACTAGAGGATCTTAATCCAGAAAATTGAATCACACTGGAAGAAAGCCCTACAGATCCTACAGATACTGGCATTTGGAAGCGCCTCAGTGCAAAAATCCTGTCATTGCACAATTGTACTGTAGCAGTTGGCCTCAACCCCATCAGAATCAACACCTTCTTTTTTGTTTTTTTTTTAACAGTTTTATTGAAGTATAATTGATATACAATAAAGTGCTCATGATTAAGATGTTCAATTTGGAAATGTCTGACATAGGCATGCACTCATGAAATGATCACCAAAATCAAGATTAAAAAACACAGCCATCCCCCAAAAGTTTCCTTGTGCCATTCATTGCTGTTCTCTGTCCCAGTCCCCATTGCCAGGCAATCACTGATCTTCTTTTTGTCACGATAGGGTTAGCTTACATTTTCAATAATTTTATAAAAATTGAATTATACAATGTCTTTTTTTTTTTTGTATGGAATCTTCCTCTGTCATCCAGGCTGCAGTGCAGTGGCATAATCTCTCCTCTCACTGCAGCCTCTGCCTCCCAGGTTCAAGTAATTCTGCTTGCTCAGCCTTCCAAATAGCTGGAATTACAGGCACTCACCACCATACCTGGCTAATTTTTGTATTTTTAGAAGAGATAGAGTTTTGCCCTGTGGCCAGGCTGGTCTTGAACTCCTTACCTCAAGTGATCCACTGCCTCAGCCCTCCAAAGAGCTGGGATTATAGGTGTGAGCCACCATGCCCAGCCAATATGCCCTCTTTTTGTCTGGCTTCTTTCACGCAGCATAATTATTTTGCGATTTGACCATGTTGCAGGTAGCTTTAACCTTCTTTTTAAAGCAAAAATATTAAAATATCTCTTTTACTATGTGAAATTAAATTCATAGTTAAAATAATCAACTTACACTTTTTAAAAAATTATAATGTCCTTACAAAGGAGAAAAAAAAGAAAGTAATTCATGGTCCAAGATGGTTTGCTATGTAGGCACGTGGGCAGCATACCTGGGAGACATAATGAAGTAGTTAGATGCTTTCATCTTTTTACAGTGAATAGGTTCAACCTTAAAAGAAGGCCATATTCAACTGAATATTACGGATACCATTTTTATTTGATTTTGTCATGTTTCTTATATTTGCCATCTTGAAATAAAGTCGAAGTTAGTAGAGTGAAACCCCTCGGGGTAAAAGGGATGACTGCAGACCATTATCTGCATATTTGATCATGAGCAGTGCTGTGCCAGTGACATGTTTTTCTAAATGGTGACAACTCTTGGTTAGGTTCTAAACAAAACAAAGTCCAGTCTCCTCTCAATTTACATAGTAGCTGCATTTTAAAAAATCACAGGATATATTAAATCCATGTGAAAAAAATGTTCATATTTATATATGAAGCTGAGCTGATATCAAGAATCAAATCATTGTAAAGAGCTTTTCATCTAGATGACTGTGCAGTGGGACATACAGTAGGACCCAACAGGGTTGCCAGATTTGGCTCATAAACATCTAATATTTCAGACATACTAATACAAAGAATGTATTTGTTGTTTATCCAAAATTCGATTTTAACTGAGTGTCCTGCACTTTAGGTGGCAGCCCTAGACACAGGACAATCTCTGTTGTGTGGAACTGTCCTGCAATCCAACTACCATTATTGGTTCCCACATATGAAATGTTAGTAGGCACCCCAATACCTGTGATAACTAAAAAGCCTCACAGCTTTCCAAACTGCCCAGGAGCTGCCCCTACGGAGAACCACAGTCCTGCAAAGAAGATCACCAGAAGCAAGCCCTACTCCTGCCCATAGAGCCCCCAACAGCTTCTTAGTGATTGATTCAAATATTAATGAATGGCTAAGGATCCACAGACATTTGGAAAAGACCCCCAAGGCGAAAAACAAAGCCAGAACAGACAGAGAAAAGGGACCTGAAGAAAAGAACAAGAAGAAAAACAACTTTAGGGGAAAAACTGTATGTATTCTTTGGAAAGATAACAGCAAGAAGAGGATACTATAGAAGGAGGAGGAGGAGAAACAGGAAACCTAAAAGAGCAGTTGGAAATTAAATATGATAGCCACAGTCAAAAAAAAAATTCAATAGGAGGGGTGGAAGATAAATTCAAGAGAATTTTCTTGAATTATTTTATTTTCTTGAATTATGTTATTTTCTTGAATTATGTTATTTTCCCCAAAAACAAAACAAAATAGCTAAGAGGCAAACAACAGGGAAGAAAATGAGCTGGAAAATTAGAGGATCAATTCAGTGAGTCCAATATTCAATTAATAAGAATTCTGGAAAAAGAAAACAAAAACTTGAAAGAAAAAATTTATCAAACAAATAATCAGAAAAAATGCTTCAAACAAAAAGAGTAATAGGGCTCATCAGTTTCCTGAAAAAGAATATAACTTATATCATGATCATATTTCAGAACACAAGGAAGGAATAGAAATTTCTAAAGATAAAAAAAATTACATCCAAATAACTAAGAATAAGAATGGCCACTTCTTAAATGTAATTTTTAAAAAAAGCATTCCAGATTCTAAGAGGAAAAATTATTTTCAGTCTAAAATTCTATACCCAGCCAAATTATCAATCCAGTATGAGGACAAAAAAATACAGACTTGAAAAATCTCAGAAAACTGTTCTCCCATGCACACTTTCTCAGGAATAGTTATTTAAGAACATGCTCCATGAAAATGAGAGGGTCAATAAATCAAAAAGAGAAAGACTTGGGATCCAGGAAATGAGACCAAACATAAGGGAGAGTCAAAAGGGATTTCCAGGTGGAGGAAGGTAAGGCTCAGTCGGAGTCATGCTGCACGGCTGTTCCCGAGAGCAACAAGTCAGCTGAAGCAAGAGGATGGAGGCAGAAAAGTTATCTGCTAAGTTATTTAACAATGGGATAATCATGTTCAGATACTACCCAAAGGAACCAAGTAATTTAAGAAAATGGCAAGGACTAAGACTATACAAAAGTTTATAAAAATAAAAAATTTAAATATACTCCTTTGCTCTGCAATGAACAATGTTTCATTATATTATTATGACCATTTAAATATCATATTATATTATAAACTATTATAAAATATTATATTATTATGACTACATAATATAATTTCATTATAATATAATGAAATAAAATAATATAAATCTGAATAATAAAAACATAAATCTGAAATTAGATTTAATGAAAGCAACAATACAGTACAGCTATATTGGCAGAAAGGGGGGCAGGAAATGGGGGTGAAGAACAGAAAGGAAGTTATATCTCTTGTAGTTCATGAGAAAGCCAAAAGATAAAGTTTAAAATTGATGCTTCAAACCAGTGATATGCACATATCATGTAGAATAAAAAGAGATAAACAGCAAAGAAAAAAACTTAAGGAGTGTAGGAGTGGATGAGGCAGCAGACTGCTGTTTTTCATAGGAGACTTTTGCCATCAACTTTTAAAGCTATGCGTGTACTGCTTAGATAAAAGGAAAAATTAATTTCAAGAAATTAATGGCTGTGGTAGAAGTAGTCTGGAAATGTTCCAGCAGGAAGAACGGCTATGTTCTGACACTGAATTTAATCACTGAGCTACTCTCGACCTTGGGATAAGGCCAAGTAGACCGGCTCCTTTTGAAAAGGGAAACCAATGACTCCTTCTGATTAGAGAAGGCTCAGAGGGGAGGGGGTTTGGGAAGGACCCTGCTGTGCACACCTGCTAAGGCCGTAATCTCTTTCTCTTATTCAGTGTTTTGCCAAGTCACCAGGAGCAGGAAGCTGCTTTTTCTATTATACAGAGCAACAAAGGGGATGAGTGGTTTGATAATGAGGACTGATAACTGTCTAATACAGAGAAAGCATGGGCCTCCCACAGGCTTTAAATTACAACTTTGGTGGCATTGATCAGGGTTCTTGAAGTCGCAACTGGGACATGGAGAAGCCACAGAAGATGCAGTCTGAATGTTTTCTCAAACACAAGGAAAGACCTGGAATCAGATTAAACAAAGATTTCCAGTTATTGAAGCAGATGGGTGGGAAAAAAACAAAAACAAAATCCTAAAAGATGCTTCTATCTCTTTAAATCTTGTGCTGAATTGCAGATTGTGCATAAGGTAGAGATTAGAAATTGTTTCGTTGCTGTTCAATTTTAATGGAAAGTTTTATTTTGGTCAGAAAAAAACACAAATGGGTTATACAGGGTGTGACCATTTGTGACCAGTTAACCATACTTGGGAAAAACCTGTCTGCTTGGATCATAAGTCCAAAGCCAGCCTCCACTATTCACACAAGTGGCAGCTTTGCCTCAGCTACAGACCTGGAGCCTAGGAGGAGCAATCACCTTACACTGACATCGCCTAACCTAGGACTTGGTGAGAAACAGTGTGTCCCTTCTGAACCTGTGTATATTTTCAAACTAGGCTGTCTCAAGCGAGATCTGACTATTCGTACACGTTCATCACAAATTCTGACTGAGGCAATGTTGACTTGATTCTGCAGACCAAAATTTACTGCATCTCAGATACGTTTCAACAACTATTTCATTAAGATCCTTAGAACATAACATCTAATGTCTATCCAGTTAGATAGTGTGGGGGCTGGGGTGGGGGTTGTTGAGGCCGGGCTAAGGCCAGGCCTTCTTTTTTTTTTCTCTTTTTATTCACTGTCCAGTAATGGCTATAAGCAAGAGGCTGGACCTTCCTAACCCCAGCTCTGCACAACTCTGAGAGCCAAGCCTAGCTTCATCACTCGCTATGGGAGGCACTGAGGGCTTTGTGACAACATCACAGCCAAGTTCTCCCTCTGCCTAACTGCTTTCTTCCTTTTTCCCAATTTTAGGAATACTCCCTAATTCATGTGCATACTAATCCCTAAAAAAAACAAACAAAAAACAAAAACTTCTTTGAACATTTAATAAGAGCAGTGAAGATCTACAAACTAGAGACTGAGGTCATTTCCCAAGAGGTTTTTCACTGGACTTTGGCTGTTTTTTTCATAATCTATTTTAACTAGATGTTAAATGCTCCCCTCAAAATGGATTTGATTTGAAAACACAAAAGACAAAAGATGGGCATAGGACATAAATATAATGTGCAATTGTACCCTCAGTAGAATGAACTGACCTAAACTCTCAGAGGTGTCTTACGTGATTTTTTGTGTCTCAGCAGATCTGAAACCACTCTCTCAAACTGGAGAACTCTTGGCTGCCCCAACAACCTGTGGCAAAATCTCCCTTCACTGCTGATGGAGTTTGAGGTTCTGCTGGACTCTGGCTATAGTGGCCTGATCATTAGTCAAGAAATAGTCACTCATGTCCTCTTGTGCTCCATGGGGGACTCATGGTAGAGGAGGGTGTTAGCAGGATGGCTGTCTACACCAGCAATTCTTACAGCAGGTCATGGTGGAGTTCACAGGGTGTGCACATGTGAGAAAGAAAAGGTCCGCCTCACTCCCTGCCGTCCAACTTCCTCTAGGAATAACATGCTAACAACACAACTTCCTCCACTCCTCGGGTGACAGCTACTACTCAATTACTGCTGAGACTAGCACCATGTATCAAGTGATTAACATGTGCTAGGCCCATTTCTTATCTTATTCAACTCCCATAACAATCTCCAGAGAACATGGGTACCATTTTCCAGATGAGGAAACAGAGGCTTTTAGAGGTTAAGTAATATGCCAAAGACCACGTAGAGTTGGTATTCAAACTTACGCAATCTGAGCAGGCATCCTGTTTCTGTTTCTTTTACAAATAAATTCGAGTTGGGTTTCTGTCACGACCAAAAGAGTGTCATTCAACACGGAAAATTAATGTGATGGGCAAACCATGAAACCACAAAGCCAAAACCATGTTCTTCTTAAATAAGCCAGGCACAGAAAGACAAGCATCATATGTTCTCACTCATATGTGGGAACTAAAAAAGTGGATCTAATGAAGACAGAGAATAGATTGGTTGTTACGAGAGGCCAGGAAACTAGCGGGTGAGAGAGATAAAAAGAGGTTGATTGATAGGTAAAAATATGCAGTTTGATAGAAGAAATAAGACCAAGTGTTTGATAAATCAGTAGAGTGGCTATAGTTTATAATAATCTATGGTCTATTTCAAAATAGCTGTAAGAGAATAATTGCTTCTAGCAGAAATATTGTTAAAATGTCCACACTACCCAAAGTGATCAGAAAGAAAAGCATAAAGAAAAGACAGATATTTAAGGTGATAGATAACCCAACTACACTGATTTTCTCTTTACAAGTTATAGGAATGTGATAAATTATTGCATATACACTGAAAACATGTACATCTATTTTGTGTCAATAAAAATAATAAGGCTCAGCACAGTAGGTCACATCTGTAATTCCAATACTCTGGGAGGCTAAGGTGAGAGGATTGCTTGAAGCCAGGGATTCGAGATCAGCTTAGGCAACATAGTGAGACTGGATCTCTGCAACAAAGGAAAATAAACAATTAGCCAGGCATGGGGGTGCACACTTATAGTCCTAGCTACTTGGGAGACAGATGCAAGATCACCTGAGTTCAGGAGGCTGAGTCTTCAGTAAGCTATGATCACTCCACTGCACTCCAGCCTAGGTGACAGAGCGAGACTTCGTCTCAAAATAGTAATAATAATTAATTGCAATTTAAAAATAGGTTGGGCACAGTGGCTCATGCCTGTAATCCCAGCACTTTGGGGGGCTGAGGCGGGCAGATTGCTTGAGGTCAGGAATTCAAGACCAGCCTGGTAAATATGATAAAACCTCAACTCTAATAAAAAATACAAAAATCAACCAGGTGTGCTGGTGGGTGCCTGTAGTCCTAGCTATTTAGGAGGCTGAGCCAGGAGAATTGCTTGAACCCAGGAGGCGGAGGTTGCAGTAGCCAAGATCATGCCAACCTGAGTGACAGAGTGAGACTCCGTCACAAAAAAATAAATAAAAATAAAATTATAGGCCAGTCATGGTGCCTCACACTTATAATCACAGCTCTTTGGGAGGCCCAGGTGGGTGGATCACCTGAGGTCAGGAGTTTGAGACCAGCCTGGCCAACATAGCAAAACTCTGTCTCTACTAAAAATACAAAAATTAGCCAGGCAGGTTACAGGCACCTGTGGTCCCAGCTACTCGGGAGGCTGAGGTGGGAGGATCACTTGAGCTCAGGAGGCAGAGATTGAAGTGAGCCAAGATTGTGCCACTGTACTCCAGCCTAGGCAACAGAGTGAGACTCCATCTCAAAAAATTAAAATAAAATAAAATATTAATACACCTCACCCACGCACTCCCAATGTCCCTTAATCCTTTTTGTTCTTTTTTTCCACATAATGCCATATACTTTATTTATTTCTTTCTGTATATTGCGGATTATTTCTCTTTCCCTACTGGAAGGTAAACACCTAGAATAGTGCCGGGCCAGACGATAGTCTTTAAATAAGTATTTGTTGAATAAACGAATGAATGAACACTGAGAGAGAAGTAAACAGACAGGAAGATATAAGTTCTTTTCTCCTTCACCTCTGCAGCAACCCTCTAATTTCCATCTGTATGAGTCTAACATGGAGACAGCCAGCAAGGAAGAAATGTGGTTTGCGGAGTTCCAGCCCCAGCATCACAGACTGTAAAAAAGTGAGCTTATGGCTGAGAAACAATATAACTGAAACACACACGCACAATTTTCCTGCACTAATCTTCCCAATATAGTTATATTTCCATTTTTGTTTAAATTTATTTTATTCTTGACATTTTTGGGAGGGTGTTTCACATTTTTATTGGGAGCCAGGGGAGGTGGTCACAGGTTCTTCAGCCACTCCAGGCGGGGCCCCTGGGGTTTCTGGGGGTGGCTGGGTACATCAGGCATGTTCCCATCAGGGCAGACAGGCACTGTGTAGTTGTAGGACGTGGCCTCGTTGATCATAACAGAGTACTTGAAGTAGGGGCTGATTGGGGGCAGAATTACAGTGAGGCTCCCAATGAAGAAGGACACGACCAGGACTGGCCCCTTGGCCCAGGCATTCTTGAGAAGGGCGCAGAGTCTTGCGGTCATCTTGGTCTCGGTGGCGACAGCAGCGAGGACCAACATTATTTTTAATATAGATTATTATTTGCAGCTGAGCCACATAGTGTACAATGATTACATTTCCTTTCTTGTACAATTTACTGTTTTTCCAGGACTTAATAATTGCCTACCTTTCTTCATCTCAATTTCATTCCCCAAATTCCCACATAAAACTCCTCTCAATACAGTCAAACACATCAGGAACCCATCAGCTCATTTATTTTTCATGACTACATGCTTCAGGGCAGTCCTCTGTCCTCTTGTATTTTTACGTTTAGCTTCTTTGTTTCTAAGATTACTTCCCATATTCTCTAACAGCCTCTTGATATAATTTTCCACATATTCAAATGTATCTGATGATTCATCTGTTATTTTATTTTCATTCCCCATGGAGTCCTGTACCTCTCCTGCTACAAACTGGATTGTTTCTTCTTGAGGCCTGCTAGACAGCCGTCCTGGAACTTCCCTTCCCTGTGATTATTCTGAATGTCTTCTCCTATGTCGAATCCCGTATTTACTGGATCCCAATCTTCCTCTTTCCTGGTTTAATCATTTTTGAGCCTCACATGCTCCGGTATCTTTCTGAGAGTGAATGCACAGGAGATAAGCATTTTTGCATGTCTGAATTTGTCTAAACTCAGACTTTATGGATGGTTTGTCTGTGTAAGAAAAATCTAAGTTGAAACTACTCTCTTCAGTATATCAAAAGTATTGGTCCATGGTCTTTTAATTCTTCAAGTTGCTATTGGAAAGTCCTATGTTATTCGGCCTCTTGGTTCTTTGTATGTAAACTATTTTTCTTTTTTATGCTTCTCTCTGGACTTTAGAACTTCCCTTTGCTTTTTGTTTATTTGTTGTGGTCCCTGGTGATCCATGACTGTTTACGCACAGGTAAAAGTGAGAAGCGAAAAGGCTGATGAACCGTTCATGCATGTGCACAGGGCTTGCTGATTGTCAAGTCTTGCCTGCTATATATAGGATGATTAGGTGGGGACCCAGCACGTTTGTTGATGAGTCCTTTCTGTCAGTATTTTCTCTTAGAGTGGTCAGTTTCTCCAGATAGAAGTGACTCTGTTTCCTGTTTTAGGTATTCCTGATGATGGTGCACTGTAAGGAGGGGAGCCTGCTCAGCTTGTGAACTTTTACTTAATATTGCTCTTTTTTTATTTTTTTCGAGACGGAGTTTCGCTCTTGTTACCCAGGCTGGAGTGCAATGGCGCGATCTCAGCTCGCCGCAACCTCCGCCTCCTGGGTTCAAGCAATTCTCCATGCCCAGCTAATTTTTTATATTTTTAGTAGAGACAGGGTTTCACCATGTTGACCAGGATGGTCTCGATCTCTCGACTTCGTGATCCACCCGTCTTGGCCTCCCAAAGTGCTGGGATTACAGGCTTGAGCCGCCGTGCCCGGCCAATATTGCTCTTTAAATACAGTGCTTCTGCTCTGCCCTTTGCCATCCCAAGTCCCCAACTCCCTGGCCTCTTCAGTCAGCCTCTGCAGAGAAGACAATTGCCCCAGTTCCCTGGAGGAGCGGACAATCACCTGGCTGTGTGGAGTGAGAGAGGAGATGTAGAAGCCTAAGCATCTTATACAATCCTCTTGTTTGGAGTTACACCCTGAACCATTTCCCAGCTATACCACTGCATGGCCCTGAACATATCATGTAGGGGACTCAGTTTCCTCTTCGGAACTTGGAAGACCTTTGAGACACATAGGAAGTCCAGGGCCCTCCCAGCCCTGGGATTCTATGACCTATGAACCTTCAGAAGGTGGAGCGCTCTGCCTAGGCAGTAACATAGACAGGAAGATACAGGAGATGAAGAAGTGGGAGGTGACAATGGGTTGGAGTGGTGGGAGACTTCAAAGAAAAGGTGTGAGGAGAGCAGGAGAAGAGCCAGTTGGAGGAGGAGAGGAGGGAGCACCTCCTAAGGTGTCCAATACGAAGATGACACTGAAGCAGGATCATCACAGCAAGTTGGCAGCTGGTAGGTAGGCAAAGCATTCTAGAATAATGAAGTGGAAGAGTAAACTTCAACCAGAGTGTGGAGAATTTGAATTTCTTCTTTATATCAGTGGATCCCATGATCAAAGTCATCTAGATATTTGTTTTCAATGCCAGAGACCCTACTCCAGACTTTATAAATCAGAATATCAGAGAAGGGCCCAGGAGCCTATATGCCTTTAAACTTTCCACATGAGTCCAATAAACTGGCAAGTTTTGGAACCACTTCATTAGACAATGGAGAGCCACGGATGGTTTGTAATCAAGATGCATGATAGAAGTGGAAATTCTAGAAAGATGAATTTGACAGGCATATGCAAGGTGGACTGGAGGTTGAAGGACATGAGGCAGGGATTCAAGGAAGGCAATTTCAATATCTCACAAAGATGGTAGTGAAAGCCTATAGGAGGTAAGTGGCCAGGGAAGAGAAAGAAGAGACTATGCCAATCCATCTGTCGTGGATTGAATAATCTATCCCCTAAAATTCATAGGTTGAATTCCTAACCCCCAGTACCTCAGAATGTAACTTTATGTGGAAATAGGATCATTGCAGATGTAATTAGTTAGGTTAGGATGAGGTGATAAGGTGGACTCTAATCTACTAGAAGGGGGATATTTGGACATACCAGCATGGACAAGCATAAAGGGAAGATGATGAAAAGGAAAGTAGGGAGAAATGGCTATCTATCTACAAACCAAGGAGAGAGTCTGGAACAGATCCTTCAATGCCAATAGAAGGAAGCGGTCCTGTTGACACCCTGATCTCAGTCTATTGGCCTTCAAAACTGTAAGTCAGTAAACTTCTAAGTCACCCGGTTTGTGGTACTTTGTTATGGCAGCCATAGGAAACTAATACACCATCTTTTTGGAAACACAGTCCTGCCTTCAATTACCTCTTCTTCGCTTTCTCATGAAGATTGATTTCTCAAAGTCACCCTCCTGAAAGGGCTGAAAGTAGTGGTTACAGAATGAAGCATGTGTTTCTAACATATAGGATGCCTTTGTACTCGAGGAGTGAGTGTGGGTTAGCTTTTCTAAGTCCTTGGCCAGTTCGCTCCCAGAATCCACCTGAAATATCAAAGAACTGACTTGTGATTGGACCTTGCTGAATAGAAAAGATGTTATACCTAGGAGAAGCAATTCACATTCTCCCCACCTGAGAAAGCAATTGGTGCCAAGAATGTCAGACTGTGGGTGAAGCCCCAGAGGAGAAGGGAGACTCATTTCTTTGGCGCCATTACTGTCCCACTGGTGGCTCAGCCAGATAAGTTAGAGCTGCAAGAGGAGGAACAATCTATAAAAACAGGTAAACCCTCACTCTATCATTCTCTGGCTTGGCCTATGCTGAAATAACTATCTTCCTTGGCTAAACAAAGAATTTCCAAGAACCCAATATATGAAGGTCAATGGCATGGTGGCTGATATAACCACATGGGACCAAAGACATTCCTGGCCTCCTTCACTGTCCCGCCCAGCCTGGACCCACATCAGCTACTCTGCACTGCCCTTGCTAACATCCTTGGGACACTTGACCCTTTTATCTGCCGGTGTCCCCAATGGCAACACTCACTCTAGGTCACCCACCATCTGCTCACTTCAGGATTGCCAAGTTTTGCTAGAAAAAGTGTCATAACTGTACCACAGGACCCGGTAAGTGTTCCCACTCCCCAACCCCATCTGGGCTCTTCCTGCTTCCATGGTTATCCATCTGGAGTTGGCTTCCTGTTGCTTCCCTCCCAGCCCTTGTAAGGAATTCTCCAGGCTCCATGAGTCTTTAGCTCCATCCCAGTGCCTCTTATCATCAGCCAAGGATGTCACCTCAATTTGCTGGTAAAGTGAAAAGTCTTCAGGCATCTACTACCTCAACTCTGTTTCTCTCTACTTTGGAGTTTCTTATGTTCAGAGGAAGAGGTGGTGTTTTAATTTTCTTGTCCAGGAAAACCCATCTCTGTTCTGGATCCCATTTCTTATGATACCAATTATATCATTTAAAAAAAAAAAAAAAAACAACAACTTCTTACAGAGCATTTAACATGCATATACATAATTTTATTAACTTTGTATATCTTCAAAAGTCTCTGGCTTATTTTGCCTACAAGCTCAAAAACCTTAAAATCTTTTTTTTTTTTTTTTTTTTTTTTTTTAAAGACGGGGTTTCACCATGTTGGTCAGGCTTGAACTCCTGACCTCAGGTGATCCGCCCACCTTGGCCTCCAAAGTGCTTGGATTACAGATGTGAGCCACCACGCCCGGCTTTTTTTTCTTTTTTTAAAATTTATTTATCATTTTATTATTTTTTTCCAAGCCTCAAAAACAAAATAAAAAAATCAAAAATAATATTAATCATACCACTTCTTTCAGCTACTTCCTAATTTCTTTCCATTTTTTTAATGGTCACTGTTTCCAACAGGTTACCTTTTCTTTCTCCTCTTTGTTTCTTAACTTTCCATAGTCTAGTTTCAGTCTCTAACACTGTACTAAAATTCCTCTTTCTTTTTTCTAACGTTGTTATTTTGAAATTTCAGTTTTTTTTAAAAAGGTTGCGAAAAACTGAAGAGTCCCCAAATATCCTTTGTCCAGCTTCCCCAAATGTTAACATGTTAAATAACCATAGGATATTTATCAAATATAGGAAATTAACATTCAGACAATACTATTAATTAAACCATAGGCTTTATTATAATTTCACCAATTGTCCTTCTGTTAATTAACTTCTAAAGCCATTCTTTCAAAGCAGCTTTCTACTAAAGTCATCTTCAACTTTGTTTTACTTCATAAATTCTGAATATAAAATTAAGGAATGATAGTGGAAAACTTAGAAAATATAAAAAGATATAAAGAATAAAATAAAAACTACCCACAATCTGGCCAGAGATAAAGCTACTAACTTACAGGACATACCAGGGATAGAAGAACATATTAAATATCACCATGGAAACATCAACAAAATTCAGACTGTGAATTTCTTAAAAAAAAAAAATTCAAA